GGGATCGAGTCCCGCATCGGGCTCCCTGCTCGGCGGGGAGTCTGCTTCTCCCTCTGACCCTCTTCCCTCTCGTGCTCTCTATCTCTCAAATAAATAAATAAAATCTTAAAAAAAAAATCAAGGCATCTAATAAATACTAGTCTTCTAGTTAAAGTATTTAAATATATGTGTTGCTGTTTCTGGACACAGGGGACCTGGATATGAATATAGTTTCATAGTAATAGTGGTATTAGTAACAGTAATATATACAATACTAATTGTATATATGGTAGCAACCCAAAAAGGTTATTGAATGAGCACATACTCCTTTTAGAACAAATTTTTTAGAAACCTCAGTCTTGATATCTGAGTTATCCTGGCTCCCTTAATTGTGGGGATAGAATCATATACGTACCGCTAGAAAAGCTCATTCTGGGATTTTTTTTTTTTTCCCATGGCAGCGTAATATCAGGATAAGGGAGTCTGACAGAGGTATAATGGGTAACACTATAATATGGTTGGAAGTTTGTCTTTACAGAGGAGAGGAGATTTTTTTTAAGACTTGAAAAACTTAAGATTTTACTCATTCTTGCCTGCAAGCACTACTTTAAAGAAAAAAAAGGTTTGGGCTCACCGCTAAAATAGAACTGTTTTTAAGTCAAGATATCATTTTAGAAGTTTACACTGTCACTTATAATCAAAGTTGCTTTAAAGCACTTTCCAAATATCTGCACTTCTGATGTCAGAATCAAAGCAGATAATGCTCTAATTCTTCTTTCATCTAAAGTAAATAGCTTTCCGCTGGAAGGTAAATAACACCGTCCTCCCAACCTCAACTGTAGGCCGGACCCTATTTCAAAACATTTTCTCTCAAACTGATAACGTGTCCTACTGAAGCCATGCAGGCACTCACGGTCTCAGTGTATCACCAAGCCCAGGTGTTAGAACAGAGAAACAGCTCTGGGGTGAAAGTTGTAAAATGAGGTGTTCTGGTCGTCGCCTCCCCCCACCCAGTCCTATTACCTTCAAGGCTGCAAAGTGAGGGGTCAAATGAGACGCTACAATCCTTGAAGAGCCAGGAGTCCTTTCCCAAGTGCAAGAGGACATGTGGGCCGTGACTATTTGATGTCAGACCATCTGAAGAAGCACGGGATCGGGCTTTTCCGTTTTCAGCCTGCTGCTGGGATCTGGTGGAGCGCGCTATTAAAAGCCACAATTTCCAGGCTGTGACCACAGATCTGAACCATTCTGAACAACGAATGAATCGTGGTGAATGACTCTTTTTGGTTGTCATTTATTTACCGTTAGCAAAGTAATCACTGCTGAATACAATCACATGTCAAAACAAGTGTATTCTTATTTTTCTCTTTTTAATTCACATGTCATGTTTAAAAAGAAAAAGTAACCACCAAAAACAATACTATTGAAGAATGACCTTGGTTTCTTCTCTGTTGAAACTCTTGCAATTGGCTAACTCCTTCTGAAAACTGAGAAGTTGTTGCTGTGGACTATGTGTTCTCTATAGGAAAACATGAAAACTCTGTAAAACTACCATGTAGAACGAGCCACAAGAATCAGAAGCAGATAAATGTAATGGATATCTGCTAATTTATTGACATAGGCTAAGCAACTTGAAAAGGACATCACCTTTTGGCGTAAAAATAAAAAAGGACAGATTTTTAAAAACTGACTTTGTGTGAATTGGGGCAGGGATCTTCATCCCTCAGCGTCTCTGTTTCTTCTGTAAAATGTATAACAGTATCTTACTTCCTTGGGTTTTTCTTTCTTTCTTTTTTTTTTAAAAAGATTTATTAGAGAGAGATCACAAGTGGGGGGGTGGGCAGAGGGAGAGGGAGAAGCAGGCTCCCAGCCGAGCAGGGAGCCTGATGCGGGGCTCGATCCCAGGACCCTGGGATCATGACCTGAGCCAAAGGCAGACGCTTAACCGACTGAGCCACCCAGGTGCCCCACTTCCTCGGATTTTTCTATGTGAAATGAGAAATGCTACAGAAATTGTACAATTCTTGAGAAATTACTGTTGTTACTTTTATAGTTCATCCCTGCAGAGAATCAGAGTGACCCTGTTGTTCTCACAGCCTGATTCAGGGGCTGCAGAAATGGGTCTCAGCCACGGCATCACAGTTTCTGTCTGCCGGCCTGTTTGATTAGGTAGTTAACACTTCATACCAGCACTGAGCAAAAAAGGATTCTTGGTTCTACAACAAATTTACAATAAAACTGGCCCATATAATGAAAAATGCTGCTTGAGAACCTGTTGCCGTGACCTATAGGGCTTCTTTCTAACCTCCCCCTAAAGGGTCTGTGCTACTGGGTAGCCCGTGCATGCATTGATGAGGACTCTTCATAAGTAATAGAGTACAAAGCAAAAAGAAACACCCATAAAAAAAATAGTAGTCTTGCCACTTCATTTTTTTTTTAATTTAAATTCAAGTTAGTTACTATAGCGTGTACTATTGGTTTCAAGGGTAGAATTTAGTGATTCATCACTTACATATAACACCCGGTGCTCATTACATCACGTGCCCTCCTTAATGTCCATCACCCAGTTACCCCATCTCCCCCCACATCCCCTCCAGCAACCCTCAGTTTGTTTCCTAGAGTTAAGAGTCTCTTATGGTTTGCCTCTCTCTCTGTTTTTATTTCATTCTATTTTTCCTTCCCTTCCCCTATGTTCATCTGTTTTGTTTCTTAAATTCCATGAGTGAAGTCGTATGATATTTGTCTTTCTCTGACTCATTTTGCTTTGCATAATACCCTCTAGTTCCATCTAAGTCATTGCAAATGGCAAGATTTTATTCTTTTTGATGGGTGGAATATTCCATTGTATGTGTATATCACATCTCCATCAGTTGATGGACATTTAGGCTCTTTCCATAGTTTCGCTATAAACATTTAGGGTGTGTGAACCCCTTTGAGTCAGTATTTTTGTATCCTTTGGATAAATACCTAGAAGTGCAATTGCTGGGTTGTAGGGTAGCTCTATTTTTAACTTCTTGAGGAAC